AATACAATACAATACAATACAATACAATACAATACAATACAATACAACTAAGAGCATAAATAACCAAACTGTGGTCAACTGAACCAAACACAAACCAAACTGACCTCCAGACTGAACCAAGGCTGCTTAAATAGGGGTGGACTGCCCTAAACTTCCTACATGAGGAATGAACATAATAGAAGTACAGTAAACACAAAACCTAACAAAATGGAATCAAAATCATATTTAACTTAATACAAATATATTAAAAAATGACAAAATAACTTAGGTTCAATTGAACTTAGCTTCAAAATTAGCGTCCCCCCCCCCTCAGTCTTTGGAACAATGGTGTCTTCCAAGGACTGAGGTGTTTGAGACCCTGCTTCTATAACTTTGGCTCTGTTAGATATACATATAGAGACAGTGTTATATTTCACGTGTTTTTCATATTAAGTTGAATTAACCTAAATCTGAGACATGGTGAAGCTCAGGTCTTTCTTTTCTCCATTTATTGACATCCACTTAGCCCTTTAAAGCCTGATCCAAGAAAAAATTTACTTTTTTTTTTGTTTTAAGTCTTTATTTGGCCTTTTAACAAAATATGTAAAAAGAGAAAACAAAAATACATTTTTAATATTAATAATTTATTACTACGCGATAGGTCAAGATTATTTTTTGTGTAGTCTTCTGCCCCCTGTTATCAGGTATATCTGATTGTGTACAATAGGATTTTGAGCAGTTTTTACCATTAAGGAGTCAGACGCAAAACATTTCAGAAACCGTATTAATCAAATATGATACATTTGGCATTACAGGGTTAGGCTTTAGAGTTTTCTCACACAAACATGGATTTATTTATATTTTTATTAACCCAGCAGACGTATATTTATATATGAGCTAACCTCACCATTATATACAGACTGGAAAGTGAACCCAGCAGACATGTGCTCATGATGTCTTTATTAAATCATTCCCCCAATGAAGGACCACCCAAGAAATCCACCTCCAGGAATAAGGAAACATCCAGTCCACAGATCTGACCCCTTAGTCTCAGGTTTTATCCGCGTTGTGACCTCAGCCTGCAGAGCAAAAAAAGCTCTGCGTGGTTTTCTATTAAAAAGACAATGAGTCATCAAGAGGAGGAACCAAATACTCTGACTGACATCTAACTTCTGTGGAACTCAGTTTGGTCAAAAGGGGGGCCGGACCCTGGCCGGCAGCCTGGTCTCCACTGCAAAAAATGTCCTAACTTATAACTTATTTCTTTCTAAATCAGCCCCTGGATGTGGTGTCCAACGAGAAAAAAGAGGTTTTAGAATGTCAATGGGCCACATCCACACCGTCGAATTGAGTCAAATAACAGATTTTACGTTTGTTTTTAGTCCCGAAATGGACATCTTTTGGAGTGTGCGTGTTTTCCACGTCCCCCCCCCAGCACTTTCCCGTCACTTCCACAGTCTGGGAGACCTCTGCTCAGTATAAAAACCAGCAGCCAGACGTTTTTATGAGAGTTTTGGAAGGTGAAGATCTGACGGATCAGCGGGAGGCTTTGTGCGTAAAAGTGATGTGGGCGATCCCCAAAACTTTAAACTCAGCCTAGATTCAGGTCACCGGTTTGTGCCTAATCCATAAGGAAATTTTAAAGTTTTTTAGAATAAGAGACGTGTCTGAATCTGGACGCAGGACATGGCAGAGGGAGACTTTTACACGATGGGAAACCGGCAGCGGTTTCCGAGAGACCCGTTCGGGGAATCCGCTTTCCGGGACCAGTCCCCGTTCCGGGACCAGCTCGGGTCCCGGTTCATGGAGGACGAGTTCGGGATGCCGCCTTTCCCCGACGACCTGGGCATGGACTGGCCCGGTTGGGCGCGCCCCGGTCGGCTGAGCGCGCGCATGAGCCCGTCGCCCTTCGCGAGCGGTTTACGCGCCGGTTTCCCCGCGCGCGCGCAGTCCTCCGCCGGAGGCCCCGTTTACACCAGCCGGTACGGGGAGCTAAACCCCTCCCGGAACTCCCCGGTCACCACCGGGGGGGAGCCCTGGAAAGTGTGCGTGAACGTGCACAGCTTCAAACCCGAGGAGCTGCACGTGAAGACGAGAGACGGCTTCGTGGAGGTTTCAGGTGAGGGGGGTCAGGCTCCAAACTATCTGGGAGAAATCAATCAATCAATCAATCATACACTTTATTTTGGTGAATTGTCCACGTTAAACACAAGAAACAACAAAAGAAAAAAACAAAAAAAAAAAACAGTAGACAAACCCACAGTTTACCAAAAAAGGAATAGGCCGAAGCAAAGCTTATTCTTGCCTACCCTATTTTTT